GGAATCAGGGATTCGAGGGCTTCTTCTACAACAAATACACCCAGTTGAAACATTTATGACGATTTGAGCAATCATTAGAGCCAGGGCTGCAGTTAAACCAAGAGGTAGTGCCGGACTTCGAGGATACACACATTGATCAGGAGGATCAGTTGTAACTTGAGAACTCTGTCAAGATACAGCACAGTATTTCAGTGGTTTTTGTGGATGATGTAGAAATAGCAAAGCATACAAACAATGCTAGGGTTAGCAAGTGCAACATCAATAGCCTTCCTGATACAAAGTAAATCATATTACTAGTCCTACCAGGATCACATTCGGCAAAAATCCTACCATCAAAGTTCACATCAATTACCTAGACTTATTACCAACAAAGGTTGGTTCAATTGATAAAGAGTTGGTCCATGACCCACAAGGTTGTAGGCTCAAATCCTGTTGCTGATGTGAAAACCTTGTTGATAAGTGATTTAAGTACCTTTATAAACACTTTTTGAGTCTAGTCCTACCAGGATCACATTCGGCAAAAATCCTACCATCAAAGTTCACATCAATTACCTAGACTTATTACCAACAAAGGTTGGTTCAATTGATAAAGAGTTGGTCCATGACCCACAAGGTTGTAGGCTCAAATCCTGTTGCTGATGTGAAAACCTTGTTGATAAGTGATTTAAGTACCTTTATAAACACTTTTTGAGTCTAGAGGCATGCCTTAGTCCTGGTAAACCCTCCGGACCTAACTCACCTAAAATTTTATGTATTAAAAAAAATTACCTAGGATTATTTTCACATTTTAGGACGGAAAAGGAGAGCGTACTAAAACAGGAAGATAACACAATAAAGGGGAACAGACAAGCATTAAATTTATATTTAAGATAGCAATTTAGGAAAAACTTGCAAAGTTCCGACTCGTCCCTCCCTGTTTGTATCAGATAAATCAATATTTGATGAAGTTTCCTGCGTGTTTGGAGATAAAAGAAAACCTAACTTCTATAGTTCAATTTCGAGGTGAGATTAGGGTTCCTGTCTCATATCCACATGCAATATAAATTTACAAAATTTCAGTGGTAAGATTCATTCTAAAATTAAATAGTTGGCTTTCAAACTAAAATCTACCTTGCTACAACATTGCCATCCCCACTAATAGCAAAATATACGGAAGGCGACAAGGGTTTCAATGCCGTACTCATCACCCATGTACTGTTAGACCTAACTTAGGCAGTTCTTTAACGTTCTGATTACAATTATCGCTTTTGAATTAGAAAAAATAGTTTTCTCCACAGTCCAGAGGTCAGTACGATCCCCATCCCCGCTTTCCATCCCATGAACACCGGATCCAACACTACAAAGAGGTGATCAAATTAACTCCTCAATAGTCCGAAATTTGTACTTTATGTTTTCTTCAACCGTTCCAGCAGCCATCGAACTGATGAATAAAACACAACCACAAAACAAGAAAAGGAAAAAGAACAACCAACAGTTCGAATCAAACCCTTAAATCACAACACAAAAGTCACCTTAATCCGAGTTCCCTCTGCAGCAAACCCTGTCGCAGCCGATAATATCCCCAAGAAACCCACAACCCCACAAACCACCAGCACCTTCCTCTCCATATATCTCTCACTCTCTGTGTGTCAGTCAAAGTGTCTTCCAAAGTTGCGTGGGTGAACTGGTGATGATGATGATGAAGAAGAGGATGGAAGGGTAAAGTCGATGGAGGCGTACAAGCTGCGAAATGTGAAGTGTGAACGGAGTCCTGTGTTGTCTTCTCGAAAAAGGATAACCGAGTTGCCGCTGGAGTTTGCATAAACGAAGCGGTCAAGCCGTCAAAGCCCGTATTATTTATTCAGCCCATGGTCTCAGCGTCTCACATCACAGATTCCGAAGGTAACGTTACGAAATACTGCATGTCGTTTTCGGCGTTCATGAATGAGATTTGATTAGAAGTCTAAATTTTATATACTTAACATATTTTTATCATGTATAAAAAAATATATATTTTTATCCTATAAAATTAAAATAAATAAATTTAGTATAAAAATAATATTAATATTAAATTTTAATATAAAAGTTAAATTTGATAGTAGTTGATCAGAAAAAAATTAAAAAATATCTTCAAAATTATAAAAAATTGATCAATAAATTTTTTTGCCTTTTTATATAGTGTTTTAATCTTTGTTTACAATTTTAATTTTTTAAAGTTTTAATTAAGTTTAACTTTTATTATAATAAGAGCAAGATTGTACAGTTTTAAAAAGTTAAAAAAATATTGCATAAAAATAAGCTAAGGTTTAAATACATTTGAACCTATATTTAAAGATTAGTTTACTCTTTTAACCAATAAACAATATTTATATTTAATTACAAATAACATAAATAAATGAATAAATAATTTTTCTTTGATTTTGTCTTATCTATAAGAATGAACAGAGGACGACGATTCAACCAAGCGGGGCAATTATCACTTATTACTTTATTACGATAGGAATCATGTTTCCTTTAAAAAAAAATCAAGAAGACAAAAAAAAAAAAAATAGTCCGATAACAAGTATAAGCATCATTGTTGTCTCCGTAAAAACAGGGTAATTTCGGATTTCCAAGATTTCTTCCCCAATTGCCTTACCATATTCTTCCCCTTCTCTCTCTTTTCAGCGGTGATATCAATATTTAGATAGTTTAGATTTAATTTTTTATAGAATTATTGTCAAGTGTTAAATTAAAAAATATAATGATTAAATTCAAATTTCTAAAATTTGATCTAAGAACAATCTAAAATCTAAATTGCCTAAGGGAAATGAGTATTTTTTTTAGATAATTGAAGATTTTATAAAAAAATTATTTTGTAAGAGATTTATAAAAAGTAAACAGTACTTCAGATTAGTTACATAATAAAAAAATATTATTAGTTAGCTCTTTTTAAATTTTGTTATAATTTCCTTGATTTTTGTTTTATAAAATTGATTTATTACTATATCATTTCAATTTTATGATATCTTCATGTATGCTGTATCTTTAAAACACTCTCCCTGATCTACCACATTGGATTATTTTCAAAAGCTACTCTAAATAACTTTTTAAAATGATCAAGAATCTACTTCTTTTCATATTTTAATTATTTTCAAAAAATTTAAACAAATATCATAAAAACTTACAAAAAAATTTTAAAAATAAGGAATTTATTTATAAAATAAACTAAAACAAACGAATCCTAAATATTAATCTAATAGCTAGAAAGAGGGAGTTAAAAATGAGAAGGAAGATGGCAGAAAAATCCCAGTCGCGAGTTTACAATGAGAGGAAGTATATTCTCAAGTTTAAACATGAGTAAAATACACTAATCTTTCATATATTTTGTAAAAATTACAAAGACTTTTGCTTATTTTTAAAATATATACCTTAGTTCAATTTTTAACAAGTTAATAATATTCCCTTAATAATTCTAAAATATTTATTTTTTAATTTGTAATTGTGTTAAAAAAATTAAAATTATTAATTTGTGTTTATAATCTAATTGGCAACTCTCTCCTCCTCAATTTAAGGAACTTTAAATAATTAAGTATGACAATATTTAAATAAATTTTTAATGTATTGTATTAAAATTATAAAATTTATAGTAATAAATATAAATTATATTTACTAATTTATTTCTTCTTATATTAAAACCCAATTTCATTTTTCTTTTGGAAAAATGACATTAAAGTTCCAAAATAATGAATTTATAATTGTTAAATCCTCAAAATAATTTCTGAAATTGGTTGTAAATCTTCATTTATATAATTATAAATTCAGAATTTTTAATTATAAGACATTTAAATTTTAAATAAAACTCTCAATTTTTAGTTTGGATTTTTTTTTTGGTAATTATTTGAATCAATATTTGTAACTTCTTTTTTAGAAAATTTTGTTGAAAACCTAACTATTATAAATTCCCTATCATAAACTTTTTTGTCATTCTCCTCAAGTTTTTTCATACACACATGTTTGAAATATTATTTTAACCAACTTATTTATTAAATTTTTTTAAAAAAATGCTAAGTAAATAATTTTCAAAACTAAAAACATTTAAAATTTGAATAAAAATTTAAGAAAAATATATTCATTATTTTTTATGGTACCTTATATAATTTTTAGATAACATTTATACTTGAAGAAATGTATTTCAGTTTAATATATGTGACTTGATAATCAACTGACAATTAAATTAATGGAAATGAAATGTTAAAAGTACAAAGAAAGTTTATGTTTAGTAACTATTGATTTTAAGAAAGGTTAGGATGTGTTTTAAAACTAAAAGGGATGTATTTGTATTTAAAGTAAAAATAGAGTAAAGTCAATATATTTTACTCTAAATATATTTTCTTAAACTGTATTAAGATGAAATAAATGAATGAATTCAGGTTTGTTTATATCAAAGAGGACAGAATGACCACCCAAGCGAATCGACATCTTTCGAGAAGGACGTCATATATCCTTTGTTTAGATTTAAAAAAAAACAAAAAACCCTCAAAGAAGACCTTTCCACGATCATTCCACTTACTCACTTTATGCCCCCAAACAAATGAAGATGAGCATGTATTGAGATCAGGTATCTTAGTAAAAGTTTAATATGTTTATGCGATATTTTTTTTTATGTTGTAAAGGCAATATTTTTTTCCACATATTAAACATTATCTTAAATTTCTGAACCTGATTTTTCTAAATCCTTTTTTTAAATAGAGGTCTTGACTTTGTAGAGAAAGGGTTACTTACAAAATTCTACTGGAGCAAATAATCCAATTAAGTGCACGGAATTTGTAACCATCTAATGTCAACTCCTAACCACAAAGAGCATATTTGGTTTCATGTTGAAAACTCCCACCAAAACTGTGGTTTTGGTAGTTTCTATTGTGAAACCATACATAAAATAACGTTTGATAAAACATTTTTTTTTTCACAAGCTAAGACCTAAGTGGAAGCTAGTGTTGTCTATTTTTGTATGAATTTCCATTTGGGCACAGTCCAACAACTTCAGTGACTCAATTTGCAGAACATATTTACCATAATGAATCATGCTTCATCCAGAAATGGAAGTTGCTTTTGAGATGAAAGCTCAAAGATGGAGACAAGTAGATTTGGGAGGATTGCCAATAAAAGCAGCTATTGACAGAAGAGAACTTCACTGAAGACCATAAACAAGCAAAGCTCCTACTGCACCTACACCAGCAATCAGACCAATAATGACTCCAATTGGCGGCAAAACTCCACCAATCGCTTTCCCCGTGTTCACGTCGTACCGAGCAAACCTCTTCTTCGGTGCCTGGCACTGGGGGCATCCGTATGTATCAGGCTGCAAAAGACAAAGAGATTAGATATTATGGATGTTGTTGAAAAGGAAAATTTGGACATTTAAAACTCATATCTTGTGAATAGCTATAAATCCATGCAGATCTCACGTGAACAAAAGTGAATGCATGTGAATATGCGATACATTCGAAAGGAGACAAAGAAAAGAGATTATGACTATGAAGAAGGGATGTGAGTTTCTAAGGGAGACTTGGTAGTATGGATATCAAGTTGCATATTGAGTAGTATTAAGTGCTAGCTTTTAAGATAGGGTTCTTCATTCCAGTAACTTTCACACAGTTGCATTCTTTTACATCACTCTCTCTTCAAATATACATACGCATGAACTTAAGGGATTTAGAAAAGTTATGCATCATTAAGGAAATAAGAGCTATTAAACACAACTTGATGGGAGTTTCTATCAGGCAGATCAATATTGTCAGCACACGACAATTAACAAACAATGAAAATGCAGCCACTTAATGGGCAAACTGATGACATGAATACCATGATGAGAAGTAAAAGTCATTAAGTCAACCATCTCCTTGTGCTAGGTTTTTTCTCTTAAAATATTATTTTTGGACAGTATTCTACTGCTTATATGCATATCTGCTTTTACCTGCTCATCGAAAGGTTTCTGTAGGGTGTATATGTATCCACAATCAAGGCAAATGTGAGTAGCTCTAGCCTGCATGCATGGTGGGGCACCTTATTAGCCATTGTATGTACAAGATACGGCAACAAGAAGATAAACAAACATGAAGCAGCAATAGAAAGCAAGTAACACCATAGCGATACTTGCCTTTTGAGCATCAGTCAATTTTCTTCCAAAGCGAGGAGGAGCAGGGCGTTTCTGAAGTCTTTTAACATCTACATCAGCACCTCTTCATTAAGAAAATGAACATATTATAGCTTGAGAACTCACCACGACCACCAATAAGAATGACAAAATAATAATCAAGATCGCATGAAAATCACACAGCCATCAAGGCTGGAATATCTGAAACCTCTCCTGCACTCATGTATAGACTATGCGTTTGATGCTGTTATAACAAACTGATGTACATGATTAGTGTTGTACAAAAAAATTCTGCGAAGGAAGTGTCACTGAATGCATACCAAAATTTAATGCTGTTCAGACAGCTTAGTTATTTTTGCTTTTGATTTTTGTATATTATTTGTCTCATTGGTTAATTAAACTAGTCCAGCGTTTGTCAAGCTATCTATAACACTGATTTCACTGTTTGTCCCAATCATGCTTCATCAGCATGATCACTCACTACACGCATCACAAAATATTCTCATGAAGCAAGCCAATTTTTTAGCATACCAGGATTCATCAGGCCAACTAGGAATTAAAGGAGATACCAATTTACAAGAACAGTGGCTGACCTAGGACCCGAGGCTGGGGGGGCAGAGATATATATATATATATATATATAGATTTTGCGAGGCATAAATGATATACTTCATCGATAGCAAAGTTTAATTTGCCTCCAGGTACTGAAAGAAGTGAATAGAATTGTATGAACTAGATTTCCTATATATGCAAGAGTTGAAATTCGAATTCCAACCACTTGTTTAAATAATGAGACCTTTACCATGTATACCAACTTGATTTTCTAATAAACAATGAGTTGAACATATAGAGGTCAAAATTCTGTTGGCAAAAAAATATAAAGCTCAGAATTATTTAAAATTATATAAGTATTTAAACAAACTACTTACCTTATCACTATTTATGGCTCATGAATAATACAATTTTCTATAACTTTTATAAACATACCAATGATATTGTTTAGAATCCAAATATGGTAAATCATGCTTCAAGCAAAGTGTACATCTAATTGATAAAAATGCCAAAGAGTTCACAAATATAAAAAATAAGTAAAAATGAAAAACTATATAAATGATTCTGGAAAAAAAATAAAAATAAATAATATAAAAGAAAATTTCTTTTTCATGGTCTCTTCATTATAGAGATGAGTAATACAAGATTGAGAGGGTGCATTAGTGGATTTGGGCCACATTCCACTGGGTTCAAAAAATGAAGATGAGTGGGGGCATGATACAAAGTCCTAAATATATATTCGCGTAATTTTTTTAATTTCAGGGGAGGCATTTGTCCACACTGAAAGCAACCTACGTCTGCCTCTGACAAGTTGAGTTAATGACAACTTGAGCTGTGTGCATGTGCATTTGAGTACGTGTTAATCAATAGCAACTCAGTCTTTTAAGAATTTCTCATGAAGCTGACCAGTTTTTTAGCATACCAGGATTCATCAGGCCAACTAGGAACTAAAGGAGGCGTCAATTTACAATAGAATTAGAAGCTAGAATAAAGATCTTTATCCGCTCGAGTTAATGACAACTTGAGCTATGCGCATGTCTGTTTGTGTACGTGTTAACCAATAGCAACTCAGACTTTAAGAACTTCTCACAAAGCAAACCAGGATTCATCTGGCCAACTGGGAACTAAAGGAGACAGCAATTTACAAGAGAAGTAGAAGCTAGAATAAAGATCTTTATCAGCTCGAGTTAATGGCAACTTGAGCTGTGTGCATGTGCATTTATGAAAATGTTAATCAATAGCAACTCAGTCTTTCAAGAATTGATGCACTTGAGCAATTGACAAAGGCTTGAAAACTCAAAAGGGTAGAATGTATAAAACCTGCTGACAACAAAGTAGACAGAATCAGGCTTTGCTTGAATGGCAGTTTTTGTAAATCCAAGCTTATCAGCTGGCCACAGTTCATCCCCAAAGAAACTGCTAGTATACAGGACTTGGTCCCCCGCTTTCAGCCCTGCTCTAGCTGCATTCCCGCCACCTTCCACACCCTAAAACAGACGATAAGTTTCCATTAACAAGCGAAAAAACTAATATATATTGGCCTGATTGGTATCACAAGGAAGAAGCATTCGTTTTTCATGACCATATGTTATCATTTTTTATCTATCATTGTTTATTTTTATTTATATTTTAATCTAAGGACACATGTATCATTTTTATTATATTCCAATCCTCTTTTCATTTTCACCCCTAACATTTTGCCTGTCAAATGTGAGCATGCCTAAACTAAGGAGAATGAAAGGGGGCCAAATGAAAGGAAATTTTGAATCTTACAAATTCTTTTTGCCGTCCTTATCTCATCCGTATTTTCCCTCCCCAAGCATATTCTAAAGGAAAAGCAGTTACATTTAAAACTAAATAAAAAAATATCTAAACTAAATTTATGTTCACTTTTCTCCCATTCTCCACAAAATAAATGTATCCACTTGAAGACATTGATGAATGTATAATCTTTTAATCAAATTAAAATCCCTAAACAAAATAGCTTTCCTTTCACATGTAACAGAGTTCTAACAGAAATCACTAGGCCCTGTAAAAAACAACTGCACCAAGCTTTCGAAAATCCTGGTTTCTGCACACAATAAATTGGGGAAGAATCCCTTTGAGAAAATAATTGGGTTGGAACAATCTGATGAAGACATGCAACAGTAATCACCGAACTGGCTAAATTTTCCATCAAAAGTAGAAAGCAAGCAAGTTACTCACAGTGATGACGACACCGCCACCGGATTTCTGTCCTAAGGTGAGACCAAGTGGTTTGTCGACCTCGACCTCAATCGTCTTTGCAGCACCAGCAGTTCTAGCTGCAATCTCAAGTCCTCTTCTAGCAATGGCGCAACCCTTGCTGTTCTCGACCACGAAGAAGGAATCCGAAGCAAACCTTTTCGCTTCACGAAGCGAGAGGCCCTGGAAAGACGTTTTCTGGAGAAAACGAACATAAATTCATATTGGGTGACAAGAAAACAGTACCCAGAAAATGCCCCCGGGGGGGGGATGAACAATACCTGGGATTGAGAAGAAGGATTAAGAAGATACTTGAGCTTAGAGCACTGAGGGAGCTGAGAATTTTTGATGGAGCGACTGGAGGAGGAAGAGAAAGTGGCAGAGCATGAGGATGAGGAAGCTGCTGCTACAACACCTGACATGGCTAGCTGGTCTTGTGTGTGATGACGATGATGAGAGAGTTGTGTGGATGAGAATGAAGTGTTGTAGCAATTTGCAAAAGAACGCTTGAGTGAAGGAAAATAGAAGATGGTGGTTCATTTTTCACGATGGAAGATAATCTTTGATTGGTGGGGGAAGGTCAGACCCCTGTCTCCGTGCGTGCCACACGCCCTCAGCTTAAAGCCACGAACGAAGTCATTCCAAATGCCGCCGGTTCAATTATTTTAATGGGAAAACTCACAAGGTAGGACCCACACTCGAGTTCAAATATTTTTGAAAGAATGGCATTAAAGATCTTAAAAAGTAAGAATTTTGTAAATAAAGTTTATTGATTTTGAAATTATTCTGATGATCTAAAGGTCTCATTTATAATTATGTTTTTTAGTGAAATAACTAATTTGATCCTCCTATAACCAACTGCTAAATAAAAATTGCTTCTTCTTCCTTCTCGTCCTTCTCTCTCTTCCTCTTTCAACATTGATACAATAACTAAATTTATTTTTCCTCCCCATCATGCTTCTTTATTCCCTCTCTTCTTCTTCCTCCTTCTTCCTTCTTTCTCTCATTTGAAGCTTTTTCGTTCAACAGGTATGAGTGGGTGATTCACTTTTATCCAGATGGGTATGGAGAAGACGATCAGGCGTTCATCCGATTAGATTCCTCTCATGCCAACCAGCTTCTTGAAATGATTTCCATAGTGTGAAAAAAATGGATCCAGTGCTGCATCTGCCATTATCAGTTTTATTTTGTTAAAAAAGGATATAGAGAGAGTTTAAGCCATATCAGTTTTATCTAATCATAATGTACGCGTTCACGTTCATTTAATGAAAATAAGTTATTATTTATGGACTTTTTATTGTTTCTGATGCATTTTTTTTTGCAACTGATATAAATGTTCTGGTGTAGATGTTGTTTATGAAATTCATGTTGTTTTTTATAGAGTTTACGTTGTGCAAACTTTGCAATTAACTTATGTGGATATTTATGTTTATCATATCAACAAACCTTGTATTGTAAATATATGGACATTGTGTTGTTAGTAAATGGATACTTTCACGTTATATACGGACCTTTTATTCTTTATTAACTTGAGAAACTTTTTCAAATGTTCAGTTTAATCACACAAATCATGTGAAATAGATGGATATTGTGTTGTTAATAAATGAACCTTATCATATTATATACAGACTTTTTATTATTCATAAACTTGAGAAACTTTTTATTAAGCCTAGCCAACTGATAAACTAGACACACATGGACTTTTAGTTTAGAATATATGAAGATTGTGTTGTGCATTGTGGATATTGTGTTGTGTATTATTTGTTTACTTGTGTATTTTGTTAAGCCTAGCCTACTGATAAAGTAGAATCTTATGGACTTTTAGTTGAGAACATATGAACCTTAAGTTGTGCATTGTTTGCTTATTTGTGCATTTTTCAAGCATAGCCTACTAATAAAGTAGAATATTATGGACTTTTAGTTGAGAATATATGAACCTTAAGTTGTGCATAGTGAATATTGTGTTGTGCATTGTTTGCTTACTTCTGCATTTTGTCAAGCCTAACTTACTAATAAAATAAAATCTTATAGACGTTTAGTTAAGAATATATGAACCTTAAGTTGTGCATAGTGGATATTGTGTTGTGCATTATTTGCTTACTTCTGCATTTTGTCAAGCCTAGCTTATTGATAAAGTAGAATCTTATGGACTTTTAGTTGAGAATATATGAACCTTAAGTTGTGCATAGTGAATATTGTGTTGTGCATTGTTTGCCTATTTGTGCATTTTGTTAAGCCTAGCTTACTAATAAAGTAGAATCATATGGACTTTTAGTTGAGAATATATGAACCTTAAGTTGTGCATAGAGGATATTGTGTTGTGCATTGTTTGCTTAATTCTGCATTTTGTCAAGCCTAGCTTACTGATAAAGTAAAATCTTATGAACTTCTAGTTGAGAATAAATGAACCTTATATTATGCATAGTGAATATTATGTTATGCATTGTTTGCCTATTTGTATATTTTGTTAAGCCTAGCCTACTGATAAAATAAAATCATATGACTTTTAGTTGAGAATATATGAACCTTATGTTGTGCATAGTGGATATTGTGTTATGCATTATTTGCTTACTTGTGCATTTTATCAAGCCTAGCCTACTGATAAAGTAGAATCTTATAGACTTTTAATTGAAAATAAATGAACCTTATATTGTGCATAGTAGATATTGTATTATGCATTGTTTACCTATTTGTACATTTTGTTAAGCCTAACTTACTGATAAAGTAAAATCGTATGAATTTTTAGTTGAGAATATATGAACCTTATGTTGTGCATAGTGAATATTGTATTGTGCATTGTTTGCTTACTTCTGCATTTATCAAGCATAGCCTACTGATAAAGTAGAATCTTATGGACTTTTAGTTAAGAATAAATGAACCTTATATTGTGCATAGTGAATATTGTATCATGCATTTTTTGCCTAACTTCAGTATTTTGTTAAGCCTAACATAATGATAAATTAAAATCATATGGACTTTCAGGTGAAAATATATCACAAACTTTTTTTCTTACAATTATCTTTAACTAGCCGTCCTCTTAGGAGGCCACAAAAAAAAAGATAGAGTCTTCCAAGATAAGAAAATTTATCATTGTTTAAGATGTGGGAGGGCCGAATACAATCGCAAGACATGCAAAAATCTTAATGCAACATGAGAAGTGGTTACATTGTACTTCTTTGGTGTACACAAGTAACTATAATTATGTATATGAGAGCATTTTTAAATAATATTTTTTAGGTAAGTGGGAATCACAAATATTTTTTGCTTGCATATGTAGAAGCAACTGTTAGATATTTTGGATATAGTGGCTAACTTTTTGTATATATCAGACTTGAAATATTTTGTCAAATTTTATGTGGATACTTATTTTAGTACCTAGGCTAGTACCAACATGAAATTATTTATATATGATGTAATTGTCTTTTGTAATATTGAAAATACATAGACTTTTTGTTGAGCATGCATGGATATCGTCTTGTGCATGGTAAATATTGTGTCATGTATGGTTTGCCTAACGTCATTTTGTTATAGCCTAAGCTAGTAAAATATTGAAAATGTATGATTTTTTTGTTCAGCACACGTGGACATCGTATTATACATAGTGAATATTGTGTCGTGCATGGTCTGCTTAATCATTTTTGCTAAAGCCAAGGCTAGCAAAATACTTAAAATGTATGGACTTTCTATTGGGATGTGTGACATTGTCTTGTGCATAGTGAATGTTATATCATGCATGGTCTATTTTGTTGTTTTGAGAGTTCACGCAAGTTCTGAATTCAAATCAAACAAAGGGCAAAATTATATTTTTAGTCTTAAAAAAATTAGCAATAAGGGCCTTAAGGCTTGCAAAGTAATATTAGATTCATTTAGGTCCAAATTGTAATAAAGTCTGTTTTCAAGGCCCTTAATGCTATTTTCCCAATATTTTTTATACAAATGCTTCTTGATCCAATGTTTTTTTTTTTTAGTTCTCTTGGCAAAAAAAAGTTTTTTTTATTCTCTCGCTAGAGATAAATTTAAAAAATAGATTGAGGCCCAAAAAAAGTTAAAAAAATAGAGAAAGGAATTTAATATTATTAAAATTTATCATAAAAGATAAAAAAGTAAAATTAGGTTAAAGGATTAAGATAAGTATAAATGACTACTATAATTATAACTTATAACTTTAGTATAAAACTTGTTAATAATATCTTCAAATTAACGTAGAGTACCGCATAAGTTACAAATTAATACTATCTTAATTTTATATTTTTATTAAATAATTATATAATTTGAGAATTAATTACATGATATTATAACTCAAAATTAATCTACACGTAAACAAATGTATTTGAAAATAGCGTTTATTTTTAAACTCTACAATAATGTCCTTTCAAAAAATTGCATAAAAAATATTAAGATGCAAAACTAAAAAAATAATATCATATTTTCTAATCATATTGGGGTTAAAGTAAGACAGGATTTTTGGATTATGTCTTCTAAATAATCTCTATTCATATATAGTTTCATAAAAGATTGAATAAAAAAAATATAAACATTGTATTGAATTTTTTTTCCCAAAAAGCACCGGATCAAATTTTCTACGAACCTTGAAAGTATATTTTTTCAGAAAATTAATTCTTAAATAACTATTTTAATTTTTAGGAATTAATAGATTTGAAGGATGAAATTATAAGGCCTTAATTCAAACAAAATAATCTATAAAAACTGAATTCAAAATTGAGAAAAGGAGTAGAAATATGTGAATTAATTTTTCAATTAACAAATACTTTTTAAAAAGTATAAAAGAAATTTTAATATATAAACTAGTGAAGTACCCATGCATCGCACGGGTTTTATACTACAATTTTTATAAATAGATCTAAAGTATAATTTATAGAGGATATTTTATCCACACACACACACACACACACACATATATATATAGATCATCATATACACAATGGAGCTATATAATTATAATAATTAATATTATATATATATATATTAAAGTAAATTAAATGGTAAAAACTAAATGCATATTGTGTAAATGGATACGATGAGATGTAAGTTAATAAAATTTTATAATTATTTAAATTAAATTATTGAAGACATCCTTATGAATAATATTAAAGTTATATCTTTATAGTGATTATCTTCATTAAGAACTAATATTTTAGACTCTCCATGCTTTAAACATGAGACGCAACAACATAGAATTGATCATTGGTGAAAAACAAGATGAGTTATGTACAAACTAATGTGACACAAGATCAAATCTTAGCTCTTATTAATCGACACTACAAAGGCTAACATAATGAAAAACTGTTTCTTTCTTATAATAAATGATAACCTTTAATCAAATAGATACATAGCAATATCTGGTATAAATACTTTCATCTTTATAATTGATCCAAACATTTATTGGGCTTTAATAACATGTTTTATAGCTCATGTAACTACAAGACATGTACCATTGTACAACCATAAATTTATCGATGTTTTGATTCTCATTAAAGTTGGGGC